GATATAAAATAACTCAAAAAGTACTTAATGAAAAAATACTTTATTATAGTGTTTTGAAAAGCTCTCGAGATAAGCTACAAGAATATGTAATAAAAAAAGGGGGGTTCCATTTAAGAAAACGTCGATCACATTGATCTCACCTTGAAAAGTTCACTCAAGGTCAAATCCATATTTTTATCATGTGGACCCCTCCGAACCCTACAACTTTTGTTTGAAACATTTTTCTCGATAAAGCTTACTTTCCGAGATATTTTACAGTTTCAAGTTAAAAAACTCACCCTGTATAATCCATTTTTTTACGTATTTCTAGTCTCTTCAGAAATCTGAAAAGAATTTAATTTTTATTAATTATATTATGAGTGATTGTTTCAATCTCATTATTTGTCAGTAAATTTACTTGTGTAAAGTTGCTTTTCTTCTACATGTGTAATAAAATCGCATTATTGTTTGTTGTCTTTTTTATCATTTCTTAAATTAATAAAATTGGCTCAAGGAAACCCTTGCATGCGCATTGCTAATCAAGTACACGAATTGTGGAAGCGAGAGATTGATATATGTCTGCACCGTATTGTGGCGTTCCTGCGGCTGAATTCAAAATCATTTTTGTTACCAACTTCATGAAATATATTTGTAACCATTTTCACACATTTCATTTATTGATTTAACACTTTACATAACAACATATAAAACATACGATAAATTATGTAACATTCATTCGTTCGTTTATTGATCATCAATCTGTACACATCTTTCTCGTGAATTAAATATTTTATTAGTAAAAAGTAAAGTCTAGTGATTTGACTATATCGCTACCACAGTATTGTTTTCGCCAACGCCGCTCATTGAGAAGATACGTTACTAGCAATATAGTAGTGTAATATGTGCAAAAGTCTGTGTTCGGGCCCTAAAACTTTTGAACGTGCAATGGCCTTAACGTGTTGAAACATGTTTGGTCCTGTCTAAGGACGACAACGAACAACACGTAACGACGACCCAAGATCACACTTTAAGCCGTGGAAGATTGAAGATTAAAGATTGGAATTTGACTAATCAGAACAAACAGGATTAACATTTCTTTGTTCTGATTGGTCAAATTTCAATCTTGAATCTTGAATCTCAATCTTCAATGCGTAGTCTGATACGGGCTTAAGACGATCTTAAATATGAAGCAATTAAGGAGCAATTGTTTTATGTTGGATTACTTGCAGTAGACTACGGAAAATATGTTTTTCCAAGAAAATGATTGGTTTTTTGCAAATACATCATAAAAAATTAATTATACAAGTGGAGCGATTGCGAATATCATAATAGAGCAAGCGAGGAGCAATTAATCTACCAAAAAATCAATAGGAAACGTTGATTAAACTCTTCAAGATATAGTTATAAACAATAAAGCTGTTATATTATGTTTGAATATTCTCGCCGTTGGCTTCTGAGCTATATAGTTTCGATAGGCGGCCGATAGGTGACAACGGCGTCGCTGCTCCTGCCCACGGAGAGCCCTGAGTATACTTTGCGCATGCACACTACAATTATAAAAAAAAACTTATTTTGCATGTAATTAAAAAATTTATCATTTCACAAACGTAACATTGGTATATTTGTAAATCACAAACGATTTCCTATCAATTACAGTTATCAGTTATCACAAAATCTGTTTGTTACTAAAAAGTTCCGGCTAACATAATAACCAAACTAAAATTGCTAATTACAAAAAACCTAATTTGTCACAAACGTTAAAAACAGACACACAATCAATCACAAATGATTTACAAACAAAATACATTCAGAAAAATTAAAAATAATTAATTTAATAATTTTTTCCGGCTAGCTTCATGTAGGTGTTCAATGTCCACATTTTTTATGTCCACAGCATGAAGGAAGAGTAAGGAGAGTTATCTCGATAGTGTAGAAAGGAAAAAAGTTAGTCACGAAAATGTTCTCTATGTGGCCAGGTTTGCCAAATGGAATAATTTGGACCATTTTGTCGCCATCTTTAATATTCGTATATTTATGGTGTTACGTTTAGTTGTGGTAGTAATTAGTAAGTAGTGTGTCATCCAACACACTTAGGGTGCAGCCCGATGGAGAAAGAATAGCGGAACGAGAGGGGGATTTAAGGCGGGAGGAGGCACGAACCAAGCATCCATCTCTTCCGTGGCAGCGGCACTGTCGTGTCTGTGTAGGGCGTTTACACACTTCCTCAGCCCGACAAATAATTGTTAGAAAACAACATTTGCGGGTCTGAAAAAATATGCGAGGTACAAGTGGCTGAATCGGGAATCGAACCCGAGTCTTTCGCTTTCCGGGCAACTGCTCTTACCACTGAGCTATTCAGACCTCGCACCTTACGCCACTCTAACACAGTACATACGACTTCAGAGCGATGTTGGAATCTCGCTCAATGGATGCAGTGCCGATTGTCACGGAGAGACGAAATCCCCAGCACGTCTCCAGATCGGTCCAAATCATGACAATTGAAAATTGGCCCCCATAGCCGCTCAGCGATGAGTCTTGACTCGTCACCAGTATGAATGGAAGCCTCCTCGAGTAGTCCATCCTAAACCACTACGCCTAAGCAGCCCCCTCTTCTGCTCCCAATTAATAATACGATTTTCCACCGTCACCACGTGGTGAATCTAGTGGACAGATTACCAGCACTTACGCTGGTACAGATGTACACCGCAGAGTGAAGCGAGAGGGGGATTTAAGGCGGGAGGAGGCACGAACCAAGCATCCATCGCATCAGAAATTTTTCCGTTCCGTAATGGTTCCGTGCCATGGGGAACCCATTGATTAAAAAGCGGAACGAAATTGAAACGGAATCATTCTGATTGGTTACCTTCCATCTGGTTTCTTTTCCATTACTGTTCCGTTCCGCTATTCTTTCTCCATCGGGATGCACCCTTACTGATCACTAATCAACTAAACATAACACTATATATGTACGAATATTCAAGATGGCGACGAATTGGTCCAAGTTATTCCATTTGGCAAACCTGGCCACATACGGAACATTTTTCGTGACCATTTCCAATCTAGGTAGATAACACTCCTTACTCTTCCTTCATGATCCACAGAGAGTATATCGCCACAATATATACAGTAGCGCAACTTTCCCGATTTTGTGTTGGCCAAAACGGAGTGCGCATGCGCGAAATAAGTAAGTTGGCCAGTAACGCCATCTAAATTTCTCTCTCACTTACTCTTTTCTTTCTACTCTTTTGTTCTCTCTTACACTATTTAAATACACAATTAAATGCCTACCTTATTTGGCGGAATAGATGACATTATATGTTATTTATTGTACGATGTATGTTTTCTTGATACTGTCTTTATAGTACATTTAACATTTTTTGAATAAGATTTTTTCTTTTTTTTGCTCTCTATATTATTTCATGTAATATATTTTGCATATAGCATAATTATTTATGTAATATATTGTATATTACCATAATTATATTTATTTTTTCATTATTTTATTTTTTTCCTTTTTCAAATATATTATTAACAATTTATCTGTATATATTTTTTATTAAAATACATTATTTTGGATTATTATTTATTGCTACATATGCTGATTAGTCAAATTCCAATCTTTAATCTTCAATCTTCAATTTTCAATGCGTAGTTTGATACGGGCTTAAAACCAGGCCGTGGCGTCTCTCAATCTTCTCTCTGCTATGTCTATGATTGGAGTAGAGTAGTATTTAGGGTGTGTTTCCTTTTGGCCGGCGTTACAACCATCCATGACGTCATAACAGTTCACTGCCGCAACGTTCCAAAATTACTTTGGCACTGTCAGTAGCATTATGATTTTATATTTCGGAACGACTTTGCAGTAATTATATTGCAGTGAAACATAATAACAACAAACATGGACAAGCATCGTAAATTATCAATTTGCTTAATAGCATTAGAAATTTTAAATGAAAGCAGTGATAGTTCTTCCGAAGAAGAAGAATATAACATTACATCTAACAATTCTATTTTATTGCACGACGCCATGTTGCACTGTAACTGCTTCACCTCGGGAGCTGCAGTAACCGCAGTAGCAATATGGCTACCATTTATGACGTCATTGATGGAACTAGATGCTGTCGCAGCACACTGCGTGCTAATAGCGGAACAATTTTTCAGCACTGCCAGTACTGGCAGTGTATATCGGAACACACCCTTAATTGACCAATCATGATAAAAGAAAGGAAAATTTCTTTGTCCTGATTGGTCAATCAAACGCTACTCCATTATAGTGGAGTTTTGGAACGCAGCCTCGAATAACGTGATCATCTGTGGTGTGGCTCGTCAGCTGATGTGCGACAAGAGTGTCTGTATCCGATTCTCAATTAATTACAAAATTGCTTCGCTTTAAAACTTTATTTGCAAAATTTAGTTTGCTTTTAAGGAAAGTATAATGGCTCTTCATTCCGCAGGAAAAGGAAAACTTTTAGCGGTGATTGGTGATGAGGTAAGAGTGTAATTTTTTCAATCTATTTGATTTATAATAATTTATAGGGATAAAAGGGCCTTTTTTTTAAATACATACGTCTTTATATTTATGTATTGATAAATTTTATGATAACTTAAATAAGATATTTTGTGAAATATTCCAAAGATGGGATCTAATTGTATATTACAATTTATTTGACTTTCATATTGAAACGGTTTTGCTGTTGTTTTTCATGAATCATCTTTGCATTAATAAAAAATAACTTAGATACTTTAATGCTTAGCTATTTTGATCGAACTTTGATTGATTAAATTAGCAATTCAACTAATAGCATTGTCTATAGCAAAATGTGTAACTATAATAATAGTAATAATATTATTTATCGTTTCTAATTTAATTTTCTTTTTTATCTGTTAAAATTGATTCAGATATATCCGTGCCATATCCGTTCTGCATCAGTTTCATATCTGTACCCATCAGTGCAAAATATTCACATACTTCAGTATGTCTCCATCGATTTTCGTTCAGTACGTCTCAGAACATCAAGAGAGAAAGATGAATTTTTCAATCGAAGAACTTGCAGTGATTGCAGTGCATTATAAAGCTATATATTATATATTATAAAGCTATTATAAGCTTACATATAGCTTATATATTATAAAGCTCCTCATAATTGCAAACATATTCTATCAATTTTTCATCATCCATTTCAAATTATAATGAAAAAAATTAAACTGCACAGATTCAAATGTGTAAACTGCTTACTAAGCAGTAACTAAACTGCTTAAAATCTTTGAATACTCGGAGGATTTTTTCCTGTACACCTCAATGTTTTCCATGCCGTTCGTTCAGTGAAAATATCGGCGCAGATTATTGTCTATGCACTGACACTGATATGAATATTGAAGATATAGATATAGTAAAAATATTCTAATATAAAATTATGGAAACTTATTTTTATCAGCGAACAGAACGGATACACCACGGATATGTCTGAATCGATCTTCAAACAAAAAATTATAATTCTATTTATATTAAAATAATATTAACAAAAAATGCAAGTATTAGAATAATCACAGATAAAGTTAGTTGTAGTTTAATTAAAGTAACTCTTAAATTCTTAATTACATGTTGAATTAATTTCATAGATATTAAATGTACAGCGTTATTTCTATTACTGATTTTTTTAAATATATATATATTTTTTCTAATGGATCGGTTTCTATATCTTAAAATATATATATATTTTTTAAGATATATATATATTTTAAGATATAGAAACCGATCTATTAGAAAAAAATACTGTTTACATTTTGTTCTTTTTCTTTATTCATTTTTCTGTTATATGTTACTATATATTGCATTTGATTAATATTAACTTTCTGTTAGTCGCAATATCCAATTGATGCACATTATAACTGATGTATTAAAAGACTGACATATGAATATACACTATGCAAAAAAATTAAAGGATCATTTTCTTCCGTCTACAGAAAAGACAATTTTCAAATTGCAGCAATTTCGTCGCACTTAATCGGATTGAGATCAATAAAAAAGCGTTACAAAGTTTGAAGTTTCTAATTTCAGAATCTTTTAATTGATTTCAATTTTTTTAATTTATTACAAAATTACATTATAAAAAAGCGATGTCCATCGATTGAACAAATATTTTTAAAAAAAGTTTGTCAAAGAGTGCCGGAAAAAAAATATTGTAGCACAATTTCGTTAACTGGATTTTAAAGAGCAGAGTTTTATATTTAATTTGCTTTTTTAATGAATGTCCTATGTTTTTTTTTTGTCGAGTTATTCACTACTGAAATAAAATCAATCTATTGACTTTAAGCGTTCATAACTAGTGAAAAAATTATTGCGCAATGATCATTAAAAAAGCAATTTAAAGAGAAAAGTCGGCACTTTAAAATGCGTGCGTGCGTGCGTGTGTGCGTGCGTGTGTGCGTGCGTACGTGCGTGTGTGCGTGCGTGCGTGTGTGTGTGTTGTGTGTGGTGTGTGCATTTATATATTATAATTTGATTTCAATGATTAAAGTGTAACTTATTCTGTGCTTTAAGATACTTGTCTCGCAAATCGCGATTAACAAAAAAAATTTGAAAATTTAACTATACGTTAATAATTGTAGTATCTACACGTTTGTACAACTTAAAAGCATTTGACCGTTCCGAACGCGAGATAATCGCTATCAAAAATTGCACTTTTTATACGTGTCGCATACGCAAAACGTACGAAAATCTCGTATTTTGAATTTTAATAATTAGAAAGAATAACAAGAAAGTGATGAAAACCTAATACAAAGTAGAAAGATACTTTAGGAATTCTATTAAAAAAAAAACCGAAATTATTGACACCCCCGTTTAGTTTTAGAAATACAATAATAAAAAGACCTCGCGGTATCATTTCATCCTTATTGTTCACCGAAAGTTAAACAAAGACAGATGATGCTCGCGAACGTTGTAGGCATTGCTTAGCAATAGACAGAAATAGTACAGAATGTTCAAAAGTTTTTAATCGATAACCGTAGATAGTCGGATGTTTTAACCATAGACATAGTATATCTAGACCGAGCGTTTGCCTTTATTTAAGGAGTGGGGGTAGAGATGCACGTAGAAAAGGACATACTCTGTTTCGTGCCCCTTGCGTTCTCTCTCGCTCGCACATAGCATAGCGTACTCTTTCGTTATGCTACGAGTGAGAGAGAACGCAAGGGGCACAGAACAGAATATATCCTTTTCTACGTGCACCTTGGCCCTCACTCCTCAACATTCGGTCTAGATATATTATGTCTATGGTTTTAACGTTGACTCAGAGTATAAAATTTTGTATTGTACTGTCGCAAGACAACTATTTTAAGTATAAAATGCTATTATTTTGTTCTCTTAATAAGTGCTGTAAATTGTTGATATAGAATTATTCATATAGAAATTATTACAATGCATCATTGTTATTTGTTACGTTTTATTATTACTTAAAGAGAAACAAAGAATCAATCCTTTTTTGCTATTAAACACTAAATTTTCTGTATTTTAAATTTTATAATATACTATTTGTTTTTTTATAAGCACTCGTAGTACACAATACAAAATTGTATTGTGCTATAACAATGTTTGCAGATATATACAATTCAATTTTCCAAATTTTTAATCTTTTTATAAACATTTAATCAGAAAAATATCAACATCAGTTTCTTACACAAGCTCAATTAATAAATTATTTTAGGATACTTGTGTGGGCTTTTTACTGGGTGGGGTTGGAGAGATTAATAAACATCGCCAGCCTAATTTTATGGTTGTTGACAAAAGTATGTATAATATATATATAATATTAAAAGTTTCTATATTAATAATGGTTCTTACCTACAGAATGCCGCAATGCGTTGCATGCGATAAGAATTGATTCAGTAATCGATCATCTTTTGTACACCAAGAGACACGGTAATGTCACAGAGAGAGAGAGAGAGAGAGAAAGAGAAGGAGAGGGAGAGAGAGCGAGAGAGAGGGAGAGGGAGGAGTATAGAATAGTGTAACTCTCCTGATTTTATGTTGGTCAAAATATAATACATATATGCATAAAATAAGTAACAATAGTTTCTTCTTGCTTAGCAATTTCTACTACAATAATTCTACTTAAAAATGCGAAAAAGTATTGATTATTTCTACTTATTACAACTTACAAGTTAAAAAGAACCACAATTTAATTTCTAAAAAAGCATTTTAAAGAGGAAACTTCAAGCTTTCAAATCATTTAGAGCTACAAAAAAATTCTTTTTGGCGTACATGATCTCAAAATTGAAGTTTTTCTGTCAATTTCGCGATTTACTTGAAAATGGAGTTATTTACACAAGAATCATCATCGAGGAAAGAGTTAAAATTTCAAACTTTGAAATGTCCGCAGGAATCATTCTAGGATCATTTTTCGCAAAGTTACATTTGAAATTCACCAATTTTTCGAAGAGATGCTTTAATTTTGTTGAGGAGAGGGTAAATGTTCAGATTAACTTACACCTCACGAATCGTTTTCATTTTCACATATATTATAGAGGGCACATTCCTAAGTAATAGTAAATATAAAGTGGATAGTTGTAAACCCCTGTGAAACCTTACTTCGCATTAAAAAGTATATGCGTGGAGACAGTATGTTCCGCTCCCCTGCAGGGGGGCTCCACTATCAAAAAACTAGACAGATAGGTTTGCATTGAATCTCGCTTTATGTGGAGAAGAAATATTTTTATCTGCAGTAATGGATAGAAATTCGTAAAGCTTCATTGCTGTATTTCTTTTGAAATTTCTAGCGGAACTGAACAAGTGTACGATTCTGAAGCGTACTAGCAGTAACATAAAAACAACTCTAAATGTAAACATAAGAAATTCTTAGCGAAAATATACTGACAGTGACACAAATATAAACAAAAAAACATAAACACGCAAGTAAGATATAGTGAAAAGATCATAGAAATAAATCCGAAAATTATGATACTTCAAAATCGCATATCTCTGAAACCAGAAGAGAGCGCCACAAAATTCAAAGTGCGTGTTACTTAGGAATGTGCCCTCTATAATATATGTAAAAATGAAAATGATCCGTGAGGTATACGTTAATCTGAACATTTACCAAAATATATATTAAAGCACCATACTTTTTGATACTATAAATTTCTAAAAAAGTGAAAGGCTAATTCAGTCAAAGTTACATAATCCGTTTTGTTCTCTTTGCCGCATTCTGTATGTATAAGCTAATGAAATGTACTCAATTAACATATGTATATAAAGCATATTCTTAATTAGAAATCGTTATTCTTTTTTTATAATTTAGAAAGTATTTGGTTTTTAAATTATATATACACACACATATACAGGGTGTTAAAAAAAAAGGATTACATATTTTGAAAAAAAGTAGTATTGATCAAAACAAGAAAAAAAAGTCGAATTAACATGGATCTTAATATCTTCGAAGATACAGTCTATCTTTCGATTTGAGCTTTTTATTCTTTTTATTCTTATTAGTTGTGTCACCTCTACAATGCAGTAAACAAAAGAGTACTTACTAGTTTTGCAGCGAGCGTTATAGGAGGTGCTCTATGTGGTTCCCATGCATTGTCACGCATTTTTCAGTCCTACGTCTTAGAGAATCACGGATCTTTTCAAACACATCTGGCTGTTCTCGGATTTGCTACCTATCTACAAACGAAATGTTATTATAATCCAATGTTACTATAGCAAAACTAATAACTACTTTTTTGTTTATTGCATTGGCATTGTAGAAGTGACAAAATATCATGTTTTTAAAATACCCTTTTGTGACCCTTTCTTAACACTCTGTATATAATATATATTTTAAATAAATTAAAAATATTTAAAAATATATATATTAACATTTTGCCGACTGGGCAAAGACTAGGAAGATTGGGTAGATCTATCCGTTTCATGAGTCATTGAACGACCGAATAGGCATATCTTTTTTGCGTTACAGCGCTGTAAACGCTCAATGTAAGCATGTTGACTGTTGTGCCCAGCGCTTACTTAGTTATGCCTATCTCGAGTGGTTGGCAAAGTGTTAAGATTTTAAGTGAATTTGAATGAAACTTTAATTTTTATTTACAAACCTTTTCTAAAACTTTTTTTCTGTTTTAATTGCTGATAATTTAAACTACATATGTAAACACAGTTTCGTTAAGAAAAAAAATTCTATCAATTTTCAGAAATATACATGTTGTAGAATATATCGTATATACTATAATATAAATTATAAGATTATGTAATGGGGTATAAATTAATGTTAAATAATGATTCTCATAGACACAGCAATAAGCGAGATAGAAGACACGTTCAAGCGCTTTATTAAGCGTGATGATATTGATATCATTCTTATTAATCAGAATGTAAGTAGTCAAAAGATATATATATATATATATATATATATATATATATATATATCTTCACCTATAGTTCTAATTTAAAAATTATTTCATCAGTGACTTCTCTGAAATTTTTGCATTTTTTATTTATTTATTTTAATAGCTATGTTTGTGAAAGCAAACTTTTATTTATTGTTTAATCAAATATCCAAATAATGCAAATAATGCTTAATTGCATTACTAATATTACATTCGGTATTCGAATCTTAGGTGGCTGAAATGATTCGTCATGTAATTGACAGTCACACTCAACCAATACCTTCCGTACTAGAAATCCCGAGCAAAGATCATCCATATGATGCCAGCAAAGATTCCATCTTAAGACGCGCTAAGGTACGATTTTTCGAATTTTTCGTGCACGGTCGTTTAACAGACATTATTTAATATAAAAATGTACAGTTAGATATTCTATTCTACAGGAAATTTATTTACTGCAATTACTGTTTACAGGGAATGTTCAACCCAGAAGATATTCATTAATATCGATTATGTTGAAATATTGTGTTATATATGTACAGTAAAATAGGATTATTTGATTATCGTATTTTACGTAATATCTATCTCTCTTTCATGTTATTCAGTAAATATAACATAAAATTGCTGTAACACACAGTACTTTTATGACAATAAAAAATAATAGATGAAAAAGTAAGATTTTTTGTCACATTATTGTGTATACATATGTATAATTATAATACTTTAATAAAAGAGAAATTAAATGTGACAAGTATATATGTCTTTCTAATTGTAAGATGACATTGTAATATTGTATGAATTTTTAATTTAAATCCTAAAATTATGAAATAAATTATTGCTGATTATTTTATTGTTACAAATCTCTATTACACATTAATTAATTCGAAGTTAAATACTGAAAATCATACAATATTACAAAGGTGAATTGGAAAATAAAAACCAATTACAAATAATAATTTATTCAAAGGCTGTCAGGACAGTAGCTATTTTTTTTATAGACTCTCATACGATTAAAGTATTTTACAGCAGGAACTGCTTTGTGCAAAGAAATCTGTGCTTTAAGATTTCTTATTGTTGATTATACACAACATTGCAATGAAAAATTGATTACTAAAAATTTGTTCTTTGTAGCTGTGTTAGAACTGTACTAGCAATGATTAGTTCAATACAGAATTTTATGAATGCAGAAGTACAGATGAGGATACAAAGAACACTAGTGCAGAGATCAAGATGCAGAGATGGCGTATCACATAGCTAAATTTATTGATACTTTAAAATTATTTGAATTTTTAGATAAAAAGAACCTTATGCTAATCTCATTATTAGAATCAATCTTGATCTAAATATAATCAATTACAAAAAACAATATGATACGATATGCAATAATAATTTAATATAATTAATAAACAATTAATTTTAATAAATTCGTTTTTGGAGTTCATCGCAGTAATAAACCTATAGATCTGTGATATCTGACTCAATGTACTTTAAAGCATTAGAAAAATTTTGAAAAATTTAGACATCTTTGTAGTTGTGCCAGGAAGTGACGCACGGAAAAATCAAGGGATTCGATCGTCAGATAAGGAATTAGAATTTCGGGCTTCGCCAAAAAATTCGATTTGCTAGCTTATCTTGCTAACTTTATTCAATACAATAGTTGAGCTTATATAGTGTGTGTGTGTGTGTGTGTGTGTGTGTGTGTGTGTGTGTGTCTGTGTGTGTGTGTCTGTGTGTGTGTGTGTGTGTGTGTGTGTGTGTGTGTGTGTGTGTGTGTGTGTGTGTGTGTGTGTGTGTGTGTGTGTGTGTGTGTGTGTGTGTGTGTGTGTGTGTGTGTGTGTGTGTGTGTGTGTGTGTGTGTGTGTGTGTGTGTGTGTGTGTGTGTGTGTGTGTGTGTGTGTGTGTGTGTGTGTGTGTGTGTGTGTGTGTGTGTGTGTGTGTGTGTGTGTGTGTGTGTGTGTGTGTGTGTGTGTGTGTGTGTGTGTGTGTGTGTGTGTGTGTGTGTGTGTGTGTGTGTGTGTGTGTGTGTGTGTGTGTGTGTGTGTGTGTGTGTGTGTGTGTGTGTGTGTGTGTGTGTGTGTGTGTGTGTGTGTGTGTGTGTGTGTGTGTGTGTGTGTGTGTGTGTGTGTGTGTGTGTGTGTGTGTGTGTGTGTGTGTGTGTGTGTCTGTGTGTGTGTGTCTGTGTGTCTGTGTATGTATTTCTTCGATTACATTATTCTTTTTGCATCTATTAAAGTTTTGATTCCGCACGACTTTACATACATCCACACAATGTATCTCGTTACTGTTTAAAAATTCGATTACTGACAGCCCGTTTGTAGGTATAAATTTAATTAGCGACTGCCCGCGCGCATTTGCAGTAGACTTTTTTTATATTTCATATTTTGGCTATTAAGAGGTGTCTGGATACAGGCCCGGTATTTCGTACGGTCAACGTGCGTGGCTATATGTATATATCCCAATGTATTATTTTAAAAAACAGCAAAGTATATATAAGACATATATGAGGACCAAATTAATCTAAGCATATTATATACAAACTCTACTGCAGCAAAACTTGCTTTTCACTTCTTATTTTTAGTGCTTTTTCTTTTTCATTAATTGTTATCGGTTGACTTAAGGATGTACTGGCTATACAATCCCAGACAAAAGTTACTTCAATTTGAAATTGAGGAAATTCTATGCTTTTGGGTTAAGATATGTACCATATGTGTTCCTATCGTGTAAAGGACTTAAATAATGCCAGTTAATATGATTTTGGTACTACAAATGAATATATTTGTACATTTTGCAAATTTTATGATCGTCAACAAAAAACAAAAAACTTTTGGACGTGAATTTCACCTGAAACCAACCGTAAGAAAAAAAAGACGTTGCGTATATTAGTAACATTTTCGGAATTTTGCATTGCTTTTTCATTAATAACTCTATAACGAGTTAGTGAATCGATATCAACTTTTTTTAGAAACGTTCAGTATTTTATTTACTCACAAACAAACCCAGTAAGCAAAATGTTAGCAGTCTGCCAACAGTTTGCGAGCAGATTCAAGCAGAATATTGCAGCAGATTGGCATCAACAGCGTCCGCATTAAGCTTGTGTTCTGTCGCAGAATCTGTCGACATAAGCTGACAGCAAATTGACGGCAGAAATCGAGCAGGATCTGCGCAACGCAGTTAGATGCCAGATTGGCGGCAGAAACTGAGCAGGATCTGCGTAACGCAGTTTGATGTCAGATTAATGGCAGAAATCGAGCAGGATCTGTCGTCATAATTTAAATGGAATAGCGGGCATTTAAATGCTTCATTAATTTACATTGCTCGTTTCGCTTGTAACGATGCATTCCCCCCATCGTTACTAAATCTTACCCGGCCGCCGATCCGCCGGAAGTCCGCCGCCCGACAAACACCGGTCGGGCAAATGCGGAGGCGCCGAGCGCCCATTTTTAAACGA